CCACTTCCGAAGAACAGTTGCCTTGAAAACTGCAAAGGACTCGCAGTCACTGCAGAGTCGGTAACGACTGAGCGCAGATTAAAAAAAAAAAAAAGGGTATAACCGCATGGGTTATGGCAGAAAAGGTGAAGGGAAAACAAATCAAGAATTGGTTAAACAAACCATAATTATTTGCTGATCTTCAGGAATGAGTTTCACAGATCATGGTTTAATCAAATTTTAGCTTAGTTCTACATGCAAAGGCTGCTGCTTTATATGTTTTGGGGATTTGACTTACATTATTTCCGTTGCTTCTGCTTCTCTAGGTTCAGTAGAAGGAAATATATTTTCCTGTTCCATTCTTGTTAAGATTTCATGGAGGACCCAGTACTGGGAACACATCAGGATTTCTGTGGGATAGTTCTGTTTCCCAGTGATATTTGAGTGCTTAGTGGGATTTATGCTCTCATTTCAATGAAAGTATGAATGCTTCTGTGGAGGGAATAGTTTCTCTCTTCCCCAAAAGAAATACATGGGTAGAGTGCCCTCGCAGACACAGCTTCCTCTCTAGCCCTTAAGACTGGGAGGTTTGGATTCCTAAAAAAGTATGGGAAATGGAAAAAATGGAATACAGAATCAAAGCAACTGCATCCAGGATTAGCTGTAGGATACAAATGAGTCACAAGCCAAATACTTACCGTGATATTTACTGGCAAATAGTCTATTATGTAAAAATAGTTAACAGCAGAATTAATTAGAGATGTTAGGTATTAATTCTGTGGCCTGAGGTAAATGGAGAAAAATATGCAGCTCATATGATGTATGCTTTGCTTGAGAAGAATAAGCTTGCTGGCCTCTTGGTGTGAGGTGGAAATTCCTTGATTGGGATGTGGGTAGTTCCTGGGTTATACCTCCATGTTGGTTCAGTGGCTGCCATCAGTCATCGCTCCCCAACCCAAGTGTGGTTTAAGTAGGATTTCAAGGCTTAAAGTCACCCTTCTAGATGCAAACCAAAAGTTTGGAGATTGCACTCCCAGATTCCCATCCATTTGGTAGGCTCGGGGTTAGCAAAGGCTGGCTTGACTGGGTCACTTGTCCTGAGTCTGCCAAACAGCCTACAAATTATCAGTATCTCTGTTCCTGCCATAATGCATCTCCTTCCATTTCTTTCTCCACTGTATTTATAAGCCTGCCAGCACAATCTGTACTTACATGTAAAATGTTTTTCAGCAGTTTGTGATCAGTGCTACCATTTTGCCAGTATTAGCCAAGGGATCTTTATTAGCCAGTGAATGAAAAACTTTGATCCTTCTGTATCATTTTCAAACATGTCATCAACAGGAATGGTATGATTGGTCAGCCTGGGCCTCAGGGTTATCTATAGGATGTGGTCAAAAAAAGTCAAGAGTGGCCATGATAGTGCAATCAAACTGCAAAGCATAAAACATGGGCAGAGCTTTGACTGCACCGTTATGGCCACCAATTTGACTTTTTTGACCACATCCTGTAGACCCTCCTGCTGAGCCTGCATCTTCTCTGGTTCAGATAGGGGGGCGGTTGTGCAACCTTGAATCATTCCATGCCAGATTCCCTACAACTACTGCATTCTTTAATAGGAGAGAATCTTGGCTTGCTGCAGTTGTGACATAAATGTACAAGAAGGAAGTCTGCCCTTTTAAAAATATTGCCATGGTCTTCCTCCTCCTTCTGCAAAGTATGCCATAGTGCGTGGCACTGAGTGCAGGGCACAAGTTCTGGAGAATGTCAGTATGCTATTTTAAAAACCAATAAATTGATCTTACTTGAGCAATGAAGTAGAACTGCATGGGGCTTTTTCTCTTTAATTTTCTTCCTCTCCCTCCCTACCAGGTTTGGAGAGTTCAGGTACATTACATGGTGCAGAAGCCTGGTTTCTGATGGAAGCACGCATGTCTTCCACTTACGTGCATCAAGGAATCTAGGAAGAGTACAGGAAGTTGGCTTATACAAGCTGTGCTGCTGACCCTCTGTCCTAGAATCTACCACATGATGTCCACAGACATCGCTTTCCCAGTAAACCCATAAGGAGGGGTCCTCTATCCTAGTTTTCTCCTTCTTTGTGAAGGAGGTCACTGAGCTCTTCATCTGAGTGGCTTCTGTGAACTACATCGTTGAAACAGGGCTACTGAAAAATAAGTACCTAAAAAGGAAGGTCAAAGCCTTTAAAAAGGGACCCAGGATGTAAGAAGTAGTCAAATGCATTCTGCATGGCAGAACCAGGTTCTTTAACCATGATTTGTTCAACAAGCCAAAACAATCTGGATTTCAGCCATAATGGCAGGATTCATATATTACATTAAGTAGAAAGCAAGCAAAAACCCACCCCTTTATGGCTTAATTTTATGAGATGGTGCAAACGAGCATTTGAAAATCATGTTAGGTATCTGTTGAATGAACAGGGATGAAGGTGCCTCCTTGAAACCAAGGGCTGCTGTTAGTGCAAAATACCCAGGGAAATGAATAAAAATGAGTGACATATAAATGGATTTAGATAGAACACAATATATCTGGAAGCCGTTCTTACCATGAATGGTAAGCATTGTGCCATTGGGCTTTTAATTGGCTATTATGTATCATCATGTATTGATGGAAGCCTCCTATGAAATGGCTTCCTGTGCCAGTATACACTTTTTCATTTGTGAGAAAGATGCTCTTGTATTACATAGGATAGCTTTGTGAAGCCCTGAGTATTTGGATGGTATGTGGAACAGAGTAATGCAATCTTTCCTTTGACATTTTCTGCCTTTGTCCTCTCAGCCTTTCCCAGCCAAATGGCTCATAATGGACAGTGATTATAGAATCTGCCATGAAAGGACCCGCATGATGGGAGAAGGCAGTTGTGGACCAGAAAGGAGGTTAAAATACTGGGAATCAATGGCCCCCACCAGCCTCATTGAAATGGGTCACAGGAAAATCTGCCTTGCGTCCATCTTCAAGGAAGTTGGTACAAAGTCTCTTCCTTGAGATGGAACAGAGATTGGAAGTGGGGAGTTTGTTAACGCTGTTGATGGTCTCCTAAATCAGGAGTGGAGAAAACTACTCCCCTCCCTACCCCCAGCTTGTGTAGGCTGCAGGTTGGAGGGCAGAGTGGCTTCAGGAATGTAACCATCCACTCTTCAAATAAAAAGATTTTTGAAAAGGAGAGCAAATATGGAAAGGTGTAACCAGTGTCACCTCACAGTTAAGCAGAGATATATGCATGGGCGTGTCCTCCTATTGCTCTTGCACACACATGCACACACACACAGTGTGACCCAGCCTGTGGACACCACTGAAGAGCCTACAGACACCCCTTACCCCACCTCACTAGATTTTTCAAAAAAGACTCAGTTAAAATAAAAAAATGGGAAGTGGCGGATTGCGAAAACCAGCTGCCCACTGGATTGTTTTCCTTAAAAGAACATTTGTCTAATCAAGTCATTTCTATTTACGTCTTATTTACACGACTGCCTCTGGATCTTCCTTGGATCTCGTGGATAGCCTTAAAAATGAAATTTCTGGGTGACTCCAGTGTAGAGTTTGGAAAGCATTCTGGGAGCGTAGCGTGAAAAGCAGGTGTTTATTGGGACAGTTCTTCCTCTGCAGCCATTTGATAGAAGTGAGCCCTTTTAAGATTTTTACGCCGATCCGATTTGGTTTTTCTGGATCGTATCACCTGTTTGTTTATCTTCTGAGTTTTATATTAGTAGAGCGCCCAGAGTCGGTTGGAGTCAGGCATTCTTTAAGTCTATGTAAATTAATAAATTAATCGTAATTTAAAAATGCAGGGGACACACCACAGTTGTATATTTGCTGTCAGCAACAAAGGATTTGACTGTCCGAAATTGGAAAGTATAAGAGCAGATGAATGAAATGGCTTACTGAAACCAAAACCTGGTTAAGGTCTGACTCTTAAGGAATGCCCATAATCTGTTTTTTATCTATCTCTGTTTATTTTCAGTTTGTTACATTACTCCATTTGCCCTGAGTTCTTGCACCCACTCCCAAAATGTGCACATCATCCGTCTTGCAACAATCTAAGCACCATCGGAAAGTGCTCCATTTTCTTCTGAAACTTAGTGATATCCATATTTTGTTTACTTATTTCAAAGCATCCTTACTGTGTTCTTCCCCTAAAAAGGCTGCCAAAATGGCTTGTGGAGGCTGAGTTTGCAGAACATATTAGGCCAAAATGCCATTGGCTAATTTGTACCTCAGTGGGCTTGTGCAAGCCCAGTTAATTGAATTAATTCAGTAAACCATGACTTAGCACGTGGGGTGAACTGAGTAGTGGAACTTCTTCCATAGCTGTCTAAGGCCAGCCAGATTTCTAATCTTCTGGCCTTTAGTCCGTCAGTTAAGTCCTTCAGCCTGCAACATATTTGGATTACACCAATTCCTTTCATTCACCAGCCGAAAATTCTTCAAATTGAAGCCCAAGTATCTGGAGGGTGCCCATGTTAGGAAGTGCTGTCCCGTGCTAAGGAATGATCATTCTTAATAAGTGTCTTAATCCTTTGGCGGGAAGAAAGTTGATATAGTCTAGGTAAAGTGGGCTTTGCTTAAATACACTGAATTTTTCTCTCCTTCAAACAACAGGCTTCAACAATGTTAAGAGCGTCATTAGTCCCTGCGTAAGTTCTTTTATTTTCTGTTTGTTGTTATTTGTCACATTATAAAAGGCGGGTAGTTTGGGAAGAGATAAGCAGTAGGCCAAAACAGATAGTGGAGTTGGGCACATGGCTGGAATAAGAACCTCTTTCGTTCAAACTTCTTGCAAGTGAATGTATGTCGTGAACCATGGCACGTGGCCATGGGAGTGGCTGTGTACCTTGAGATAGCCTTCCCTCTCTTTCAACCAAATCATTCCTAAAAGCCCCCTTCCCCAAACTTGCACCATCTACACCACTGAATTCCCCAAGGTGGCCTGATGGATGGGTGGGGATAGGGTGTGTTCTTTTGGTTCACTGCCCATTCAATAGTTCTGATTTTAGAAGGGATGGACCTCTGCCCCTTCCCTGGTCAAACCATGGAGCTAGGCTGTTCTCTCCTTTCCACAAAGCTTGGGTTCCCTCCAGAACTCTAGGCTAGCTTGGAGTTTTTCCAGATGAAGCTCTGACAGATACAGAATCCCTGAGCTTGACTGCAGATGATCACTCAGAGCCACAGGCCAGTTACCTGGGTGTTCCAGGCCCAGCTTTTTCATCCCATCAGGTTCAGATTCTTCTTTTGTAAACTGCATAACTTGGTGGGGTTGCATTTTTCACGAGAGCTTTGTTGTGCAGGAAAGAGCAGGAGGTACCACTCTTGCCGTCTTTGGACTATGAGAAGTTAAAGAAAGACCTGGTTGATGGGAGTGACCGCCTGAAAGCCTTCTTACTCCAGGCCTTGCGCTGGGTAAGTGAGCAGGAGAGCTCCTCGAATTGGAGTCAGATTGGGTATCCCCTCATGCTAAGCAAAGCACGATTCGGAGATGGCTTCAGTTCTCCAGCCAAACTGGCCTCTTCCAAATTCTGTTAATTCAACATTTTTCTCAGTTCCTTCTTTTCACTCTCTCTGGACTGCCTCATTCTTTTTGGCGTGGCAGGTTGAGGTGTAGCTCCCACTTAGGGAGTCATGGGAGAGGTATGGATTCCATTCAGTTGAGAAACTGAAAGGGAATTTGGAGTGGCTTTTCATCCTCAGGTGCTGTTTTGAAAAGAAGTTTAGCTTGAGAGCAGAGGTACATTATTGCTATGCTCGAGTAATGTATTTCTCCGTCATTGGCTGGGTTCACACATTGCATCAAGCCATGGTTTGCTTAACCAGGGTTTGCTAATTATGCCACAGTTGGTTGGGTTCACACATAAACCATGTTTTTGTTTAAAGTGGTTGAATTCACCCGCAACCAAGCAAACCACATTATAGCGTAGGACAACGTGCAGATATCACCATGGTTCATGCCAGGTGGAAAGCATAGAGAAATCGAATCAGTGGATGGGCTGTCCACTTAGACACTTTTGCAAAATGTTCCTAAGGCTCAGACCGCATTTGAACAAGCCTCTCCTTTTGGGTGGGGGCGGAGGATAAAATTGGACAGAAAGTTGCATTTCTCTGCTTGCATGCTGAGTTCAAAGCCAGCTTCTGCATGCATATGATATGAATTCAGAATGCAACAATTCTGGCTGACAATTTGCTAGCTGTGGGGACATTGTTAGCCCTTAGGGTCTTCCTAGTAGTAAGGAATTATTATGCAGGATAGTGTTTTAGCCAGCAAAGAGAAAAGAAGTCATGTTACCTTCTTGCTATGGCTGGATCCAAGTCTCTTTGTGGTTTATAACCCAGCCCTTGTGGCTTGTTCAGCTTACTATGGCTTCTTGTGCCTTAATAATTTAATTTTCAAAAACATGTCTATATTTCTTTTGCAGCGCTTAACAACATCTCATCCTGGTGAGCAGCGGGACACCGTTCTGCAGGCTTATATCAACAATGATCTTTTGGATTGTTACAGTAATGCCCAGGTTAGCAGTGGGAGATCTCTACCTAGATCAGAGGCCAAGCACACCCTTTGGCTTCCTTATTACAAGATTTCCAATAACAGGGTGGGAAGGAGCTGGGTTCAAGGTTTGTCGTTTTAGTGACAGTTGCAGTAAATAGATTGCATATTTGTATAATGCCTAATTGAGGTTTTTTCCCCCCCCTTTTTGTGGGTTCTCTGTCCTCCATTTTGAGCACATGCGTGTGCTGATCTGCAAAGAGAAAGCATGACCTGTTCTCAGGCCTCTGAAAGGGTCCCATCTCAGATCCAGTTGGTGTGCTTATTCCTCCTGCTATTTTTGCAGATGGAAAATACTTTTTTGGGGGAGCTGTAATGTTTCCAGCATTGTCCTCTTGCTATGATTCTGCAGCCCATGGGGACGCACTGTTTTCCTACTTGCTTCTCTCTCCTCCAGTTGTTGGGCTCAGTCAGCCATTAACAACACTGCTGTGTCGCTTCTCCTCTGCCCTGATAGAGAGGTTCATGTCTTGCTCATAGACCATCCAGCATCCTTGTTCATGTGTGCCTTGTTTATGGCTGATGTTCCATTGTTCTTCCTAAACTTTTGTCCACGGAGCTTCCAGAGTCATGGGATTCAGAATTTATCTGGATATCAAACACTGTATTTATTTTCCACAAAGGAGATAGGAGCAATCTCTTGTAAAGTGTCCATGCTATAATAAAGAACAGCAGTAGAGTAAGCTTATTCCTCCCATCCGGACCCTCACAGCCTCCACGTCCTGGGACCATACCTCAGAAACATCATTTGGACAACCAGATATACAACCGGAACTCATCAGCATACTTAGGACCTTTTCTTCGTGCTGTCAGTTGCCTTGAGGGACATTGATTTGCAACCATGTTGACTTTTTTGCCCCCCAAACACCTCTGCTTTATCTCACAAAATAGGACGCAGAATAAATGTCCCTTTATTCTGATGTACTTGATGAGCTGGCCGGATTCCCATTTTTTTTTCAAAGACACCCCCCACCCATCTTCAGCACTAAACGGATGGGCTGCTCAAATTGCCCTTTTATCCGCTTTCACAGTTAGCGCTTTGCATCCTTGGTCCCACTGATACCAGGTTTTGCTTTGTTAGGCGTCTTCGTATTAAACCACAGGTGACTAACTGAAAGCAGCTGGTTGGCAGTCAAGGACCACGTCACATCTCTTTATTCAAATTTAGTTAAGCATCCCATCTGTCGAATAACTGTGAGCCATCCTTAAGCTTTTTTTTTTTTTTTTTGAGACATTATGAGAAGGGCACTGTAGTTTTGTTACAGGGAGAAGCAAGAATTTTAAATATGCCAGCAAAGGGTGCTGCAACAGTCCAAACTGCAACTTTTAAAGGGGCTACCCGAGAGTAAGTTTCTTTTTTTAAGAAAGGCACAAGTGATGCTGAGATATAAATTAAATATATGCATGGAATATTGGGAGGAACAATACAAGAGGATGTTTTTGCACGTCAAACTTCCCAGATTCAATTCCTGGCTACCTCAGATCAGTCAGGCGATTCTTTGGAGAGTCGTCACCAGCCAAGGTAGGCAGTAATGAACAAGATGGACTGATGGTTGCTCTTGAGGGAAAAACAAACGGTGGAAGGTGGAAAAAAACAGGAGGCAGATTAGATCCTGCATATCCCCCCAGGGCTGAAGCTACCAAGGCCAGAAGCAGAGAACTGAGGCCAGACCAAGGTGTCCCTAATACACAGGGCGGGGGCCCTCCCCATCTAAAGCCATGAAACAAGCAGCCAGAAGTTTGTTCCCATGTAAGGACTGGATAAAGAGATGTAAGATTAGACCCTGAGGCTATTACATGCAGTGGACTGATCTTTGTTGTTACGGCCTGTAAACAAAACAAATGACCTGTTGGAATGCTCTGCTTGACTCATGAATGGTGAACTCCTGACTGCTGGTTCAGCTTCCAAAGAAAACTTGGTTGCCATGGTGGATGAAATTCTCACACCATACATCCAGCCAACTTCCTGGATTTAGCCTAGTTGTAGGCTCATATCATTCCTGTCGATTGCAACCACCTCCAAGCCAGTTTCCTCTTCCTTTTTTTAATAGTAATTGTATTAAACACTAAA